AGGGTCCCGGAGCCCGGCTGAGCCCCGCAGCAGAGCCCCGGCGGAGGGTCCCGGAGCCCGGCTGAGCCCCGCAGCAGAGCCCCATCTCGGACGCCGCTGAACCTCCCCGCAAAGTCCCATCGGAGCTTCCCGAAGCCCAACTGAGCTCCGCGGCGGATCCCGCTCCGAGCGTCCCGGAGCCTCGCTGAACACCACCGCAGAGCTCCGTCAGAAAGTCCCGTAGCTCGGCTGAATCCCACCGCAAAGTCCCGTCGGGACTTCCCGGAGCCCAGCTGAGCCCCGCAGGAGGGTCCCGGAGCCCGGCAGTAAATCCCCATTCGAGGGTCCCGGAGCCCCGCTGAACCCCACGGCAAAGCCCCATCGGAGGGTCCCGGAGCCCGGTCTGGGCAGCCGCTTGCACCGGAGCCCGCTCGGAGGAGGCTCCCGGAGCCTGCGGGACTCCCGGTGAGCGGCGGTGCCCGGGGGCTCCCCCCCCGGTCCCTCCATGGACTGAGATGGCCTCGGAGCTGGCCATGAGCGCGGAGCTGCCCACGAGCCCCCTCGCCATCGAGTACGTGAACGATTTCGACCTGATGAAGTTCGAGGTGAAGAAGGAGCCGGCGGAGGCGGAGCGGCTGTGCCACCGTCTGCCCGCCGGGTCCTTGTCGTCCACCCCGCTCAGCACGCCCTGCTCCTCCGTGCCTTCCTCGCCCAGTTTCTGCGCTCCCAGCCCCGGTGGGCAACCGGCCCCCGGTCCCCCGGCTACCGCCGCCGCTTCCCTGGGCTCCAAACAGCAGCTGGAGGAGCTGTACTGGATGTCGGGTTACCAGCATCACCTCAACCCCGAAGCTCTCAACCTGACGCCGGAGGACGCGGTGGAGGCGTTGATCGGTGCCCCTCACCATCATCATCATCACCACCAAGGGTACGAGCCCTTCCGACCTCAACCCTTCGGGGGTGAGGAGCTGCCGCCGGCCGCCCATCACCATCCCGGCCATCACCATCATCATCATCACCACCAAGGGTACGAGCCCTTCCGACCTCAACCCTTCGGGGGTGAGGAGCTGCCGCCGGCCGCCCATCACCATCCCGGCCATCACCATCATCATCATCACCACCAAGGGTACGAGCCCTTCCGACCTCAACCCTTCGGGGGTGAGGAGCTGCCGCCGGCCGCCCATCACCATCCCGGCCATCACCATCATCATCATCACCACCTACGCCTGGAGGACCGGTTCTCCGACGATCAGCTGGTGAGTATGTCCGTGCGGGAGCTGAACCGGCAGCTGCGGGGCTTCAGCAAGGAGGAGGTGATCCGCCTCAAGCAGAAGAGGAGGACCTTGAAGAACCGGGGCTACGCTCAATCCTGCCGCTACAAGCGGGTCCAGCAACGGCACATCTTGGAGAACGAGAAATGCCAACTGCAGAGCCAGGTGGAGCAGCTCAAGCAGGAGGTGACCCGCTTGGCCAAGGAAAGGGATCTGTACAAAGAAAAATATGAGAAGTTGGCCGGCCGGGGCTTCGCGAGGGAGCCCTCCCCATCCGCCGCCCCGAAAGCCGCCGCTGACTTCTTCATGTGAGCCGGGCTGGTGGGATGGGGTGGGATCCCCTTTTTGGTTTTTTTCCTCATGCGGGGTGAGCAAACCCGCCGCTTATATGTAAAAAAAGAAAAAAAAATTAATATTATGAAGTCCCCTCTGAAATTTTTGGGGACGGGAAGTTGAACTCCCTCCCTCCCTCCCACCACGCACCCACCCATCGGGACTCGGGGTGGGGGGTCCCGGGGTGGGGGAGTGGGGGGCAGCCCTGCATGCGGGACGTGTACGGCCACCCGCCCTCCTTCCCGGGAGCATCAGCGCCATCCAGGTGGCTTCTCCCCACCTTTTCCTGCGGGTTTTCCCCTCCATCGGGATTTTTATTCTTCGAGGGATCCCCACGGATCGGCCGGGGGGGTCCCCGGCAGCGCTGCGCCCTGCCCGGCCCCTCCGCCCACCCCCCATTCCCGGCCGGCAAACCTGAGCCACATTTAACTTATTCACCCTTGTAAATATGTAGAAAATTAGTTCGTTTTTGCCTTTTTTTTTCTTTTTTTCTTTTTTTTTTTTCTTGAGCCTATATTTTGCTTGGTGATTTACGAGAAAAAGAAAACGAACAAAAAAAAGAAAAACCAACAAAAAAACCCTAAAATCCTTTAGAAAAGAGAAAAAAAATACACGAGTCTTAAAAGTTTGTATGTAATAGCATGCAAATAATATCCGAGTTAATTTAACGATGTTGGGAAGAAGCCGAATGCACTATATACAGGAATCGATTGGGTGAAATAATACTGTTTTATAGAGATTTAAAATTATCTATGCTCTTAAAAATAGTGGGGAGGGGAGGGAGGGGAAGAGGTAACAATTTTAGGGTGACCTGAAAGGCAATATAGTAATATATGGACTGCAAACGGTTGGCTGCTATCTCACTATGCACCAGATTTATTTATTAACCCTCGGGAAACGGAAAATCTTATTTTAACCTCGATGTTTGGAGAAAAAAAAAAAAACACAAAACAGACGGCAAGAAAATGCACATTATTTGTTGTGGAAACAAGAGGAAAAAAAGAGGATTAAGAATTCGTGCAATCGTTGGAGCGAAAGCGGGACCGATCCTACGCGGAGGAACGGGGCGGGTTTGTTTTTTTTTTTTTTAAACGAGTTGCTTATTTAAAAAAGGAGAAAAAAATTAAAAAAACAAATTTTGGGGGAAAACAAAAGGGTCCTGCGGACAAAGCGAGCTTGGGAGCCTGGTGCATTTTAGGGACTGATCGTGCGAAGCGTTTTTAACGACCTGTTGTTTCGATTTGTGACGGTTTTAATGATGTTGCATCAAGATAAAAACTTATATTCAACTAGAGTCTGGGTCGGGTTTTCTCTCAACTTTTTTTTGGGGGGGGGGTCCCGCAGCATCGGGGTTTTGTTTGGGGGTTGTTTATTCTTCCCTTTGATTCCCTGTGCTGATGCAAAACCTTCCCCAAGCTCCCGCTGGGATAAGTCCAGTGTCGAGCGTCGCCTCTGCCCCGTTGAACTCTGGCTTTTCACTTTTCCTGCCTCTTTTTGGTTTTGGCTTTGTTGTTTTTCTTCCAGCGGGTTCTGGTTTGTTTTGGTTTTCTTTCCTGGCTGGAGGGTCCTGGAGACTTGCTTCCCTGCAGCTGCTGGAAAGTCACCGGATCCAGTTTGGTTCCAGCTTGTCCGACACCGTCCCGATGAGCCGCTGGCTTGATTTTCTACGGTAATAAATGATTTTTCTTTCCTCTTTTGGCTTCTCCATCTTGAGTTTTTAATTTAAAAAGGAACCCTTAGCAAACCAAGCCCACACCTTCCCCAGTCCAATCTTTTGGACTGGTATTTTACTGAAATTTTGGGGGTTTTGGGGACTATTTTTAAGGATATTTCTCCCTTTGCTGCAAATCTCAAGCGCGGCTGCGGCTTTTCCCAGAATCAGCGGGACAAATTCCAACACAACTCTTGGTCCAACATCTTTCTTGGGCATTTTTTGTGATTTTTTTTTTTTTCTTTAATTATTTAGGTGTATTTTCTGTCCTATTTTTTTGCCCAGGCTCAGCCGTGGCAGGTCCCCAAGCTGTGGCATGTTCCCTCCTGCTGCTTCCTTAAATCTCTGCTGTGTTCATGTAATCTCCTGGCTTTTCCCAGGATTTGTGGGGTGCCTGCAACTCCACAACCCTCTGGTCTTGCCTTTTATGCACCCCCAAACCTCACTCCCCTTTTTTCTTCACCTTTTTCTGGCTTTTTGGGGTCTTATTGTGTGACCAGAGGGTTTTTGAACAGCCTGAGCTCGGCTCAGTGTCGGACTTGGATTTTGGAATGGGAGCTGGGATGCAAAAAGGAACACTTATCCCAGGGCTGGACAAAAAGGGGGGTTTGGAAGGTGAGGGATTCACCCCTTATTCCCGAGTTTATTTAGATCCAGAGAAACTTTGTAAACCTGACTCTAAATAAAATTTACCCCCACAGCCACTCGCGGGGCACCGCGTCCTCAAATTTTTTGGAGGTGAATCACAGCTTCCTGGCGGGTTATTCCCTAATTTTCCTCCCAATATCCCTTTCTCCTGGCATATTTTTTTGTGGAGAGAACACATCCAGCTGCCTGGTCATGATCAAATAAGAATTTGGGGAGGAAAAGGTATCTGATGGGGCTGGCTGATCCCCAAACCAGCCTGGGGATCTCAGTCCCCGCTGTCTAAATCCTCACTTCTGGATCTTCTCGTGATCCACATTCCCTGTGGGCACATCCTGGGGGTCACTGTCCCTTTTCCCAGCTGGGCTGGGGCTGGTTGGGAAAGCAGAGATGGCTTTGGGGGCTGTGTGGGGTTTTGTGGGAGCGCTGTCCCGTGGATGTCACCCCAGGACCCAGCGCGGTGACCGCGATCGTCTCCTGCTCCGGAATCCTTTCTCCACTTCCATGACAGAGCGAAGGCAGCAGCTTAGGATTCCAAATTTTCCCTTTTGCCCTCTCCTTTTGGTTTCATTTTGGGATGCAACAACCTGGGAAGGATCCCAGCTTATTTTGGCAATCCAGGTATTATCCTTTCGTCTTTATCTCAAAGGGATCCTCAGTTCCTGTGATTTATTTTTTTTTTAGTTCTCCACTGATTTTTTTTTTTTTTTTTTTTCCCTACAAACCCTCCTTGAAGTCTCCTAATAGCTGGAGCAGGACACAAGGTGTTGCTGTCACCCATTAATGTTGGTTCCCCTCCATGGGGGATCCCATCCTACAGTTTTTTTGGGAGATCTGGGGCTGGAATTGCACCCTTCTGCCCCATCCTGATTTTCTCCGTGCTCCTGAAGCTCCTGGCTTTCTGGGATTTGGCTTTGATGAAAAAATAATAAAAACTAAAGTGATTTAAGCCTAAATTTGGCTGGTTTATGACTGGTCTCCTTTCTGGGGCTGAGCCACCAATGCACCCTGGGCTCTGGGGGGGTGTCTGGGTGGTGCCTCCTTGGCTCTGCAGCGTTTTTTGGGATGGCTGCAATATTTGCAGGATCATGTGTGTGCATTCCAAGCATGTTGGCACATGTTTTGGGATGGGGACGTGGCGGGACAGGGTCGTGTGTCACCCGTGTGCCGCAGGACTGCGGCCGTCTGCAGGTGCCACCGTGTCTGCTGCAGGAGGACGTGTGGCGTTTGGGGTCACTCTGACCTGGTTTCAAAGCTTTCCCCTCATTTTTCCTGATCCCTGAGCAGGTCTGGAGCCTCCTTCTCCATCTTCCTGCCGTTTTTTTAGGGTCTGCATGGGGTTGCAGCAGCACCTCAGGACACCACACCCTCCCTCCCATGAGGATCTGCAGTCCCTCCGCTCATCCTGGGCATCTCCTGCATCCTCAGCCTTTTCCAGGGGTGAAAACAGCAGCCCAATCCCAAAGGATACTCCAAGGGATGCTTGACACCTGGGATGGGGACATGGGGACAAGCCCTGGGGGTCCTCTTCATGTCCCCCTCATGCAGAGCTCCTTAACCTCATTTCCAAGTTTTTCTTGCCCGTTGAAGGCTCCATGGGCATCGCTGAGCTGGGAAATGGCTGGAATTCCTCCAGCTTCCCAGCCCGTGGGTTTTCCACAGGGCAGAGGGGTGATTTTGGGGGGTGCTCACCCCCAAACACAGCAGTACTCCGGAGCACCTCATCCGTGGATGCTCAGGATCAGTCACAGCCCCTGGCAAAGTCTCCTTGAAGCGGTGCAGGGTGCTCCGTACCAGCTCCAAGCAGGAATTACCAGGATTGCTGAAATGGGTGGAAAAGCACAAGAAGACGATCAATGCAGCATCTCCAATGTGTGCCTTGCTCCTTCCTCCATCGTTATTGATGCTCCCACCCCACAGGTTTGTCCCAAAACCGCTCCCGTGTTCTGCACAAATCCTGACAGCTCCACAAATCCTGACAGCTCCATAAATTTAGAATTCCAGTCCTGGGGTGGAAGCAGGTTGGGCTGCTGGGCATGGAGGAATTTGGGGTAATGTTCACTTAAAAAGCAGAAATTAATTTGAATCTCAGCCAAATTAATTCTGGATGAAAGAAAATTTTGGATTTGGCTCCGAGCTCAGGGTTGAGCCACTGTGAGCAGAGCCTGGGCTCAGTTTGGAGCTGGAATTTTTTGGCTCGAGTGGATCTTTATGTTCTGGCTCGGCCAGAGTCGGATTTTTGCACATTCCCTCCTTTCCATGCTCTGTGCCTGGCTGCCTCCTCGGTATTCTGCATCCCTGGGACACAAACACTGCCCCACCCATGCTATATAAAAATGTATTTATATAAAATAAATTTATCACAATTTATTAACTTGCTAGAACAGAGCTCTGCCATGGGATCATGGTTTTGGTGCTGCACGGCTCATCCTGAAGGCTGGAGCTTTTTCCAGCTCTCTGCCTTCCCCCAGCCAGCACATCCCAGTTCCACTGATGTGATCCCTAAGCTCAGCAGGAAGTGAAATCCTTCCCAAAATTCAGGACATGGAAAACCCCCTGCATAACATGTACAGGACCACAAACTGGGATTTTATCCCAAATTCCTTAGGTTTGGGTGGGTTTATGTCACCTAGGGGTGCTACTGCTGTGGGAATTGGGATGCAGGGAGCTGGATCCAGAATATGGGTGTGGGATGTAGGGG